GAGTTTGGAAGGCTCTATAGATGGCTAGTTTGACCGCGCGGCGGGTTTTCTGAATCAATATGATATCGGGGGGAGTTTGGAGGGACTGGAGGCAGTGTTAAAGATAGCCACGCTTCAGTCGGAAGCTGTGGTAATTCCATTGCCAGATAGTGGTTTGGTGCCTACTGAGGCGTGGCGGGCGTGGGAGAGGTAAAGCCATATTGAGGGATGCACTGTTAGAGGTAGGGTATGGATGGTGGGGGTGGTGGAGGAGTTTAGGACCCCAACTGGGATGAGATGTTGGTGAGTTGGTTTATTTGACTGGTGAGTTGGGCCAATCTGGAGGAGTACTTTGAGACAGCGTTTTCTATCGCCGTACAACGGCTGTAACGTTTTGCTCTAAGGTTTGCAGTCTGGCACTGAAAATGCGAGACATTTCGGTCATTGACGCTGAGTCGGTGTAATTTGTCTACGATTTTGAGGCCATAGTATTGATTACTCTACGCTTGACAGACTGGGCGGTGCTGTCAGGTGAGGATATGGCAACTGCAACGGGTTGTGGGGGAGGAGTAGGAGTGGGCGCTGGAGGGGTAGGAGTTGGCGCTGGAGGGGTAACCTTTCTGTTTAAGGAGGGGTCGTAAGTCTGCATTTTCCTTCTAAACGGCAGTGATTTATTGTGTGAGGGTTTGGACCTTTTGCCGTAGAGTTTGGACCTTTTGCCGTAGGGTTTGGACCTTTTGCCGTAGAGAGGGGCGGTGATGAGAGACATCCGACGGGCAAGGAGAATAGCCGGGTCGTGATTGCAGTCGATTAGGTATTGGCTGATGTTCTCCGGTGGACCGTAATCTGGCACATTAAAGATGATTCCGCGTGAGATCTTCGCAGGATTTGCCATATATGTGGCCAGAAAATAGTTCTCTTCGCCCTTCAGAGGGGGTGCTGAGTAGTATAGTTTTGAATGGCATTGATTCGAATTTTATCATCGCGTGCCACGTTGTAATTGGTCTGGGCAGTGTTAAAGACGAAGTCTTGCAGCTTGCCTGTGCTCATCGAGCTTAGGTTGAGGCCACCACGTGCACGGATGATGATCTTGTAGTAGTCAGGGAGTCTTGCGAGCTGCGGCGGGCGCGTCTTGAAGCCAGGCCTTGGCGAGCTGCGGAAAACCGGACGCCAAACGCGCCTCGCCGCTCGACTTGGTCGTTTACGTCGCCATCCGTTGTTTATCCTTGCAAGTTTTTTAGCCCTATGTGTTGCAGAAAGGGAGCTACGCTTTGTAATTTTACAAAAACCAACCTGTGAAATATACCTTTGACACAAAGTTCAGATTGCTATGTGCAGGCGCCAATTTTTATGGCCCATTTTAGATCGAGCCTGGTTATTTCAGTCACCCTATACTTACTGCCAGGTTGGATCACATTGGCATCTTATTAGCCTTCCTTTTCTTCACTTGGCTTTTACTAGTATGCTTTCACAAAAGTAGGAGTGAGGTCCTCGGTCGACTTCGGCGCGAACCTTAGGATGAGAGAAAATGGCAAAATGGCGCGTTTCCCGCCTTTCATGTACTTTATGCACCCGTAGATCATTGTGAACACTACGAATTAGTTTTTAACCTCTAGGTGGTAGTGGAACGACTGGTTGGCAAGAAGCTATCGAAGGAACAAGCGAAAGTGAGAAACCAGAGCAGCCAAGGCGAGCAATGCTGGCGACACGCACGGAGTGACAGCGGATTGGATCTCGGATTGGATTGAAAGTGTCAAAGACAGTTGGTTGTAAATTAGAACGGAGCAGTAACTTGTTACCAGTATAGGGTTGTTGCACAATACCATGGTTCAATGCTGCTACCTCTTCGTGGATCTGATCAAAACCCACTGGAATCCATGTTGGAGGCATTCATTGCTGTTATCCTATGTTTTGTGTCCTTTGGGGCCTTGTCTGCATGGTACTTTGTGCACCCACTCGAGGTTGAAGACAGTCAGTTGCTCTGTGATTGTTTTAGCCGTAAAACTTGGTGTCAACGGAGCCACGGCCAGCAATATTGGTTTTTCTAGAATTCCGGAAATCATTAGGAACCAGGACAAGGCGACGCTCGAGCAATCGGTTTGCCGACATTATGAATGGCTCCCAACGGACACGCCGGCACAACCTCAACCAGGCGGGTAAAGACAGGAGTAGAACACGGCAAGTCCTGGGCGCTAACATCTCCAGTCCCGAGAGAAAGAGCGAGAAAAGGCAGAGAAATAAAGCAAACAAAAAGTTAGGCGTGTTCGTTTTGCCGCGACAAGTTGAAGTTGCTCGAGCACTTGTCAGGTTTATTTAAATTTATCACTGCGCGACTCCTGTGTTCTTCTGCAAAGACAGAAAATAACAAGGTAAAGACTTTACTGGTGATGTTTGGCTGCATCTTGGTGCATATAAAGGCTTCGGCAGCGATAGGGCTCATCGAAATCGCGAACTGGGACCGCCGATCTCCGCTTCTATGTTCCGCCATTTCGAAGCGGCCAAACGCAGGGGACCTTTCGTTTCGGATTATTATGTTAACTCTACACTCTTAAAAAAATAATTAAAAAAGGAATGGACGGGTGTTGACTGTACTCTTTTTGGAGAGAATCCGGGTTATCGCAAGCTATACTCTCTCTAGGGACCAGGAATATGAAAAATACATGCAAATATGTATCAAAATACAAATACAAAAATAGTTCGTCAAAAATGTATTTAATTACGAGTCTAATTACATTTAAAAAAATTGCGGTGGCTTAGCTCGGCTATGCCAGGATATACGCAGCGTGAGCTTAGGCGCATAAAATTAGAGGTGCTATCAAGCAGCTCCGGTGCAGCGTCAGACTTGGCTACTGCGCAACGGAGGCACATAGCTGGGCACGCGGCGCCGCCAGTGCGTCTGCCGTGGCTGTGACGTCACTCCTCTGGAATGCGAAGACTGGCGAGGCGAGCGCGGTGGCGGCGGATCCCGCGGCGACTTGGCCTCCGCCCCGCCAGCTGTGCGCCGTGCGACGTCACTGCTCCTCGCACTTGCGCAGCACGGAGCATGGCTCATTATGCCAGCCACGCGAAACTGCTCAATTTCGGCCAGTGTAGCTCACGCTACAAAAAGCATTTAAATACAAGATACAAATTCAACCAAATGTATTTGTTCTCTTCCAAATACTTTTCTAAATACATTCCTCAAAATTTGCGAGAGCGACTTCAGGGCACCTGCAACGGGTTTCTACGTATCTCTACGCACACTCTGGAGTAAGTTTGCGAGGCTCTAGTAACGTAATAGAAATATAATCACAAAAAATGTAATCAGCTTGGACGTAATAGGTGAAAAAGTACAGAGCCTCAAGCAGCTTTTTTTGTCGATTACATGTTGGTATATACCAACAAAGAACCGAGACGACCAAGACACGGAGCACTAGCTAAAGAATTTTTTATTGTTGCAACTCGCACCAGTTAACGAAAATCTGGACGACACGCGCATTTAGAATGTTCCAGGCAAAATTATGGATGGAAATCAGGCTGGAAAGCATCACAAGTTGTCACAGGCGCTTATTTAGCCAGTCTGCCTGTGAACGTCGATTTCATCACTATTCTTGCCCTGGACTAGCACCGTAATCACAAAGTCACTAAACGCTTGTGCTTGATTAAGAGACACTGCATTCGGTGCAGAACGTAGTTTTCTTTCTGCTCTGGACAGTGCCAATATATTTGAGGGATGTATTTTCGCCCACAAAATTGTATTTAATTACAATTGTATTTGAAATACCCACCTTTTAGTATTTAAATACACACGTCAAATGCATTACCCAATTTGTAATTAAATAGAAATTCAAAATACACAAAGTATTTGAAATACATATTTCAATTACTTGTATTTGAAATACCGCCTATCCCTGCTAGGGATAGGTAATCGTTACCTTTCCACGACTAGTGTATGTTTTACTCTCCCATACGAGTGCTCACTTAACTTTTCTATAGTCACACAAATGGTTTTGCAAGAGTCAGGACTGTCTACAGGTTTTGAATTTCAGAGTTTGGTGCATTATTTTAACTGCCCTTTTTTGCTCCTAAATACAATTGTTTAAGCGACAACCAGTCTGTCGTATGTAAGAAAAAGTGTTGCCTGAACTCTGTACTAAAGAGTTAAGCACGCTCTCCAGGAAGAGTTATTGTAACCTTAGAAGTGGTGCCTGCACTCCGTATTAAAAAGTTTAGTGTGCTCTATAGCAAGAATTAATATTACATAACAGCAAACTTAGCAGTTTATATGATCCCTTCCTGGAGACTGCTTTACTCTTTCATACAGAGTTAGGCAACACTTGAAGTGGGGATTTAATTACTCGCACTAAAGAATTTTGTAGAGTAAGTACAACCCCATTTGGAAGTGTTGCCTAAACTCAGTATTAAACAGTTAAGCACACTTTCCAGGAAGGGTTCACACGAACTCTGCTCAAGTATAGTGTTATGTGCTGAGTGTAAAATCACCCAGTAAAAAGTAACGTAAATGCCTGCTAACAGAATTAGGGGAAGGGAAGTGTACAATTGGCTCCTTGTTAGTCAAACGTTTGCTGAAACAAAAAAAACTCTACTGGCAAGTGGCATTTTTAGCCTGTTGAAGTGCGACCACTGTACTTTTATTTTTGCAGCTGTTGTATCAAATTTCAATACCTCCCTTGATTTCTCTGTAATGTGGAATAGTACTTCTGTCCTTATTATGGGAGCTGCTACATACAACTTGAGACAACTCAAGCACTTTGCAATGAACAGTAGCCCTAAAATCTAAAGGCAGCTATGTATATGTTCACAAGGGGAGGGTTGCATTGGAAATGTGGAAGTGCAGCTGAAAAAGGACATAAAAGAGGGAGCATGAGCCTGTTCGGAGGCCATAGGTTTTCATGAAAAGTCAGCATAGAAAGGATAAAAAAAGTAGGATAGAGCTCAATAAGCCAACACTTTAATGTTAGGACATGGGAAAAAAAGGCAAAAATGGCACACATATTCCCTCTGGTGAACAAGTTTCTTACTTTGTGATGAGATCCAAAGCCAAGGCAGACTTTATATCGTACTTCAAATCAATGAAGTGCCCAATCCGTCCGTCACCTCAAATAAGTGGTTCTCCAACACCGCAGTTATTGCCTTTGAGTCCTCTTTGTCAATTCGCATCACCGGATAGGTCAATCTGTCGTGTCGGTCCTCCTGTGAAGAATGAATGCTTAAATGTAGACTCAGCAGTATGAGAAGGGAGGAAGCAACTCACTAAGTGTAGAAGGGTATGCACTTGGGCTAGTTGGTGATCCATATTTCCGAGGGAAAAAGCGTTAAAAACAATGAACAAGTAGAAGTGTTGTTGGTTTCTGTTACTTTTCCATCGTTTTTAGTCTTTTACCCTCGGATATATAGCTCGCTAAGTGCCCTTAGTTAATAGGAGTGCATTCATTTGTAAGACAAGAGACCATTTGCGAAAATCCCAGGAGCCATTCACAGGATACGTTCCAATAGTTGTCTGGTACTTGTTTTCTTGCCGATTAAACGAGAGTCCGAATCGAACACTTAGGCAGCACTCACTGCTGGCTCACTCAGCCGCAACTACCCACGACTGTTTGTATCCCCTCTGATATGAACATCTAAAAGAAAAATGAACCACATCTCTCTTTTTTTCCTTTGTATGCAGTGGCAGCCATAAGGGGTTGCATTTATTTATGGCAGGGAATCCCCAAGTTTGCATACCCTATTAGTGGCATCGGAAGAAGAGGGCAAGGCAAGGGGGGCAATTGCCTCGCCCTCCCACTTCTCTCTGACTGACATTTTAAACTATTATAGCAGACAATATGGGAGACAGGGACGGGGTTTAGCTCCCTAGCACATCACCCCTCCACCTTCCAAGCAATACAAACTCAGCTGGCTCCTGCCCATAGCGATGAAAGTCATAGCTCTATATAGACTAGCCTTAGGGGTAGGATGAATGGAAGTTCTTAACTTGAAACTTGAGATCATGTCCGGTTTTCAGTTTTGGAGGCGTGAGGTCGCATCCATGGATAAGGACATAGGGGGGCTCCGAATGCGGCCGAAGCGCCACCGGCTTTGACACCCGAACTCCGACCAGGCAGCGTTAGCTTTATATGAACGGCGGGTGCTACGGCCGGGGACGCCCCGGGCACGTGACGGTTAGTCTCCCCTCTGGCTAGGTCAACGAAGGCCACCAGGCTAAACCTGCTCTCCGCGAACCCCCTCTCAGCAAGGCCCCCCGGACAGCCCGACGCGCACCACGTATGGCTACCTTGGGCCCGACTTCCTTCGTTCACCTAGACACCGGCGCGGCCGCGCCATCGCCCCCAACCCCATCCCGGTGTCCGGCCGACTATCCGCCGACCCTCTTGGTCCACACCGACATACGAAGGGACCAAGCACCCCGCTGGGCCAGGAGTGACAGGCACGAGGAGATCGGGGGGTATGATATTGCCCCCGATCCGCTTAAGGCAGGCCATGGCAGCTAGGGCCACCTCCTCAGCCGTCCGGGAATAGCCCATCGGAAACGCCTTTGAAAACTTCTCCTTCTGCTCTTCGGGAGAGCCAGCCAGGCGGCCTCACCGTCTTCGCCTCCTCGGAATTTGAGGCTCTCCGCCGGAGAGAGCGAGTTATGATCTTTGGCGACAAGATCCCTGACATTGAACGACAAGGGCAGGATCGGGCAGCCCCCCTCCTGATGTTTCCCCGCCGTCTGCACCAGCCGGAGCAACGGGTCCCAAACGAATGGGGCCCGCGGCGGCAGCTTAGGGCTCCTCTCGACCGCGAGACTCCGACAGTCTCGCTATGACGTCGAGTCTGCTGTACCCACTCGGCCGGGAAGTCTGGTATGTCAACGGTGGGACCGTTGATACATTTAAACAAGTCGAAGGCTCCGACCACCTCAAGTTGATCTCCCTTCCACGTCACTGCCAGACCCCGCTGCGTGGCCACTGCCGACAAGGTCGCGCGAAGACCTTCCTTGGCCTCCCCAATGTCTGGCAGCGTCACGGACCCGCGTTTGCCAGCAAAGAAGTCGTCAACCGAGATATCGGCCAGGACTGGGTCTGGTAGATCCGGAAAGACACGACGCACTCTGTGAGTGCCAAAGGCACGAGTTATAGTGGTGGACAAGGCCATAGGGTTAATGAGGCTCGGGTCGGCAACCCAAGCCGCTCTGGCCTCCAGCAGGTCCCTGATGAGCGGGTCCTGCTCTGCCTCAAGTGCCTCGACACGCTTAGCAAACAGATCATCTTCCCATGATCCTTGCAGGTCTATGATGCCAGTCAGATTGTTGGTGCAAAGGGGAGTCAGTGGAAAGCGCCGAGTGCTAATACGCGTGGACTCTACCAGACGGTGCCGGACAGCCCACATGACAGTAGCAAACGGGTCATCGTCAAGCCTGGCCGCATCTCGGCCCTCCACTGTTCTAAGTTCGACGGCATTCCCCTTCCCACGGAGAACGAGGCCATACTGCCTTTTGAGAAGAGGTTTGAAAGAGAACATGGGAGTTCTTAAAAACTTATTCAATGTCCTCTCTCTGAGACTCAACCACGAACGGATAAGAACAAAGCAGCCTCACGAGCAACAACTGTTCTAAACCGTAATTCGCGTAGATGTACGACGCTACCTCAAGTGCGTCCAGGATTTCTCTGGAACGTCCTTCTCCGACCCTTCTCCCACAGATCAGATGTCTTCGATATCGGAGGCCCCCAATTTTTAGATTGGGGCCTCCGACATCGGAGACATTCGGGGGATATCGGGGGGCATTCGTCCAATTGGTATACAATATGTTAGGAACGTTCTTAATATTTAATTAGTTTGAGCAACCTATTGTATTTCAATGCTGACTACCGTATATCATAGTTTATTTCACAACTTTAGAAGTTAGCAAATGCAGGTAACCTCTAAGTTTGGGGACACCATTGATTAAATATTGTAATTACAGCTCTACATGAAGCTAATTTACTATAAAGTACCATTAAACCTTAATAATATAAAAAAAACTGTACCTACTGAAATTCACAAACTCAAAAAAAAAAGAAGCGAAATAAATATAACAGTAGCCCAACCAAGAACATACAGCTTCGATTGGTCAGTGTTCAAAAAATTGAAAAAAGTGCCACATTCCAAAACAAAGCACGCATCGTGGCGAGCCGAAGCTGTGCCATAACTGAAACTACTAGATAGCTAGTGAGCTACTCACATGCACCACTCCATCATGCATGTGCACAATAGATGTGGGCTCTGAATTTCTGATTTGCATGTGGCATGGACTGGTTGCACCACTCTGAAGGCAGCTGTGGGCACGCGCATTATGTGCCAGAGCGCATCCTTCAGTATGTCCAGTAATGCTGAGGTGAAGTGTGCCCAATAAGTTGAGTTTCTACATGGCTTCATCTGTTGAAAACTGCTCTGCCAGCATTTTGTGATGCTTTGTGTGTGTTCATCAAATTGAAGATTATATATTTATGTCAGAACCGCTGGAGCCTCCTGCTAAACAGGCGTGTTAGTTTTATGAAGGCAACAAGGGCGGCAGTGGCTCCCCGCCCCTGTCTACTCCCCCATCGGAAAGCAAAGAAAGTTCTGTTGAGAGCTGGGGTCTTAAGAGATCGGCAGAAGTTCCATACCATAATTCCTCGACAAGACAAGTTGCGAAGTCCTTCAAGATCATGAGGGTTTTGATTAGCTCCATGGCAGGAGCTGCAAGAACAGCAGTTTCCCTTGTTTAGTGAGCAAAAATTATCTCCAGCAGTCACACTGTAATCAATAAATTGTTCATATGCAGTAAGGTTCAAGGTTCAAGGTGTTTAATGGCACAACTTCCACACAGCCGAGTGCCTGAGGCAGCCAAAAGGCAGAAGCCCATACAACCAAGTGCTGGCTGCTTCCTCTCTTTCTCCCCAACTGGAACAAGTTTCTGCACTCTTGGCATTCCTAACTAAGGAGACAATCAGGTCTTTATATGACTTTGATACGGAAACTTGTCATCAGTGTAAGATGGCGTGCTAAACGATGACACTTGAAGAGGAGCAGCCAGACGCTGAATCCTTGTATCCCTCACCATGGTCGCTGAGCAGGTGGCACCATGGTTACAACTGATCCTCGGCCACAGCAGTAACGGTATGACCTAGGACGGTACCCTGGACTAAAGGGTGTTCTGCTGCGGTTCGGATCCAGCTGTGCGGGAAATTGGCACCTTAGAGATTTCTTTTTCTAGGACAGGGTTTATGCATGTTGAAGCATGGCATCAGAAGTTGAGTTGTATGAAGAGCGTTGAGATTAAGTGCTCGGAGAGCTTGTCCAGTTAACTTCTTGTCCCAGCATCTCAGCATGACTGTAATCTGCTTCAACATTAAAAATAAGTCTGTAGGTAAGTAGCTAAACATTCGGATGGTTACTAATCTGCTGCACCTCTTCTTTTTGTGGAGTGCATGACGACACTCAGCTTAAAAAGAGCTACTAGAATATGAAGATGCCATCAGTACAACGAGAATATGGTGAATGTAGGCATAACGGAATGGAAGTCCTTGTTACACCTGGTCCACAGATCACGGAAAGTTCGTCGGAGTGCTTTTCACTCTGAATGGCATGCACACGAACTCGCAAACCGAAAGGCATTGTTAGGCTCCTTTTGAATTACCAATGGCTTGTCTGGTATTGGTGCTAGGACTTACCAGATCGACCTTGGAAAATATGGCAAGCTATTGTTGAGCAGTGTAATGAAGGTGCTGATGCAAAAGAACTGTGTTTTTCTGTTTTGTAGCAGCTGTATATGGCAGAACTACATCGTACAGCGCATGAATTATGTGCAAAACTAGCTTTTTTAAGTTGATGAGTATAATCAGTGCGTAGAACGCACACATTCATACATGGATATGTTAGCAAAAATAAAAACTAATGTCTCGTTGCAAGGACTCACACAAAAAGCGGAATTTGTTGAGAACCACATGTAAACTGGTAAAATCACTGCAGTACACTAACAACAACAAAAAAGCTATTTTTATGTTGGCACACCACGCTTCCTCCGCATTAAATTGTGCATACGACCGCTGCTGGAAATTCTGAGGAAAGCAGTCTGAGTAGCCACAGTCGGCAGCGACCCCAGACATGCTCAACGGG